CAGAATGGCGTAAACTTCAGCGCAAAGAGAACATATTACGCTACTGTGTGCTTTAATTAGTTAAAAATAAATATATATTTTTAGAATCCTTATCAAAAATGAAATTAAAAAAAGTGTCTACTTTAAGAGTTGTATAATACTGATAGCATAAGTATTTTCTTAAAAATGACACATTAGTTATTCTAATGCTATTGCTAATTTAAATGTCATTGAAAATAATTGCAGGGGAAATAAAAGCCCATCTTTAAGCCAGAACAATTGGGTATAATATAGCCTACGTCACAGGTTGTGTTGTTCACAGTTTTTATTTAAGAAAATAAAGAAAAAGCGATTTATTTACGTATTTTCGTATGCCGTCAAGAATGGCTCTTTAAATTTGTAGATCGAAATTAGGTGTGATCGTATAAACACTCGAAAATTTAAAATAGAATTAAACTTACATGCTACTAATTTCTTTACAAATCAATAAACACAACATAAATCGAGAAAAACTCGACGAAAAACTCTAGTGGAAATATTTTATTACATTTTCAGTATATGTGGATTCATGGTTACATTGACAAGAAGCTTGCATGAATAAAAATGGCTTTCGGGAGTTTTGAACCATACCAATAAGCGAGTCTCATTACCTAAATAAATTAAATTTCCAACCAGTCAAATTAAAGTTCCTTTACCTTCGGGATAGCCCTGAGTGGTTCCAATAGGTTTTTTTCCTCCCTTCCATGTAACGCAAATACACGTTAGTTCCAGAGAAAAGTTTTTCGTAAAAGCACATTTGTTCATTGTTTTCTTGATCTAAGAGAGATACTTTATCTTTTGGTTGTTCAAAATTACCAAGATACAGTAATAGAATCGTAACATCAAAACTACATTTTCAATTCAACATTGGTTATAAGATTTGATGCTTAAAACTTAAACAATGATAATCAGAACATCTTACCTACAATGTGCCGTTATTTTATCAAATATTTTTAAAATATCCTGCACTTAACAGATCCTACATTTGTGAATGCTTTTGAAAATTTAAACAAATCAAATGAAAAATTAATTAGCTATGATGTCTCCCCGTCATCATTTCATAGCAAAGTTTTACGTTAATCCGAACTGTCTACATCCGAACTGCCATCCAAAACTTAACTTAGACACTTTTTTTTATATTTATTTTCCAATATATTCATTGTGTATTTTTATTTACTATGTAAGTGGACAATAAATTTCCTTAAGACTATCACTTGTAAAAATTTGTTCAATGAAAAATTATGCAATTCTTATAGCATTTCACATAAATTTTATAATATCGGGCAGTGCCTCCCAAGAATTTTGATAACATTGAAAATTCGAGATGCTATCGTAACACTTTAACGCCTACAAAAGTTAATGATAAATTTTATTATTCATCTATAATTGAGTAAAAACTTCACAGCATTTCTCTCAGTTACCTTTATTTTGACATAAATTAAAGAAATTTTAAGTAATTGACTTATATTTAATTCATAGCCTGTGGGTTGAATAGTTGGCTAAAGTAACTTTGATTTAAGTTTAGTTATGGGTCATTCTTACAAAAAGGTGATTTTTTAAGTCCCTGAGTAATAAATATTAGGAAATACAGCAGATTTCTTAATATTTTTCTTTATCATTTTTCGTGAAGCTCTTAACTAACAAATCATATGCATTTCTGCTAAATGTATTTAATATTTCATTCTTATTTTTTAATAAACATGACTTCAAAATCCCCTCCGTGGACGTCCCTACGTCTGTGGCACGAAATAATTTTTAATGCCTGTTAAACAATTTAAATGTTATTTTAATGATTTTTGTAGTTTTACCTAGTTAAATGTTTATGGTAACTTTTTATATTTAGTATTTAAAAAAAAAATTTATTTTTATAAAATAAATGACTAGTAAACTTTGTCCATCAAAAATTATGTCTCCCTCCGTGGACAATTAATATAGTTCTGTAAATATGCATTAAAGGGCAGCATATGCGAAATCCCTATAAGACAGCTGCTGGGAGGGGTAACCATTCCATTTTCTAATGTCAAATATCAGTTACTTTTGTTCTCTTTGGTGTCAGTTTTGGATTGTTGTGTTCAACTGGGGTTTGGCAAAGTTCTCACCGTATACTCCGTGGACATCATAAAGAAGGTAAGAGAAAATTATTTTATTTTTGATAGATGAATTTTAGATTGCAAAAATAGTACATTTAACAAAAAGAACTGCCCCATTTTTGTAACTTTAAAATTAAAAATCAGAAAAATTCAAGAACTAGTTTTTGTCTCCTCCGTGGTCCTCCCCTCCGTGGACATAACAAGTCCACGGAGATGAAGACACAGTCAATGTAAGAGACAATGTGTTAGATAACCATAATACAATTTTAATAATTAAAAAACTATTTTCTTTTAATTGATATTTTTTAAAATGGAACAGATGTGTTAATTTGCTTCTATTTTTAAAGAAAATCAATTAAGTTTACCTTTTTATATCGGAGAAGTAAATATTGGCAATTTTTCTAAATAATTTCTGTGATGTTTAACATTTTTTTTCTCTTCAAATTTTAGGAAAAAAATTGTAAAACCAAAATTTAAGAAAAGAAAGCAATCAAATGTTCAAATGCAAAGGAGAAAGGAACAGAAAAAACTCAGTATGAGGTAAGCTAGACAGAAATTAAAAGAAAACCCTATATTGTTTGAAGAAAGTGAAAAAAAAAAGAGCGAGAAACTTTAAAATTTGTATCAGAAATAGATTTAACAGAAAAATCGTTATTAAATGTACTTAAATTTCTAGAAATTGATGGAGATAGCCGTTTGTGCCCAGGGAAAAAAGAAACAATAACAAGAAGAAAAGAGAAAAAACAAAAACGTTATTTGGATGACAGTATGTTTAACTTGCATAAAATGGTCACAAAAGAGTACCCTCAACACTCAACTTTCATGTGGAGTCTTAATTTTTATTTCAATAGTCTTTACATTTTAATTTATTAATATTCAGTAAGAGTTACTTAAGAAATTGTACACCTAGGTTAAAAATGGATGTTTCCTTTCATAGCAGCATGATTAATCGGAAGTAGCTCTATCTCTAATAATGAAATATTTTATTATTTACTTATTAATGTTAAACTCATATCAGTTGTACCCAATAATTAAAAAATTAGTCTTCATTGACATTTTATATTTTATAACATAAAATGTCTCCTCCGTTGACTATTACATCTCCTCCGTGGACAAGGCAGAATTTAAAATATTTTAAATCTTGTAAAAAATAAAATAGAAAACTTGACCATTATTATAAGGACATATAACAAAAATAAATAAAGGCATTTATGTAATTTTTATCACTTTCTTAATTACTTTAATTTAAGAAATTTTTTTAGTCTATTTATACCTTTTCAGTGAGAATGACCCTTATCATGCTTTAAAAACGCTAAATATTTTAAGATTGGTATAAGATTAGTTTAAGATATAAGATTTTTTAATAAAAAAAATAATCAGCTGAAATTTGTAAGTTAAAAAGTCCTATTTTAATTTCTTAGCCGAGAATTATAAAAGAATAAAAGTAACAAAAAAAATGCAGAAGCCTTAAAAAAATTACATATATTTTGAATAGTAAACATACAATACAACTAAAGCGCAGCGCAACAATACAAACAGTGTTTCGTAAATACCTACATTCATATATAATTTCAGAATCTTAGTAAAAAAATTATAAAATCAAACCACTACTCATTAAGAGCCAACTAATATTTAAGAGAGAGGACACTACAGTTAGTTATCTCTGAGTTACCTTTATCCAGTTCAATTACAATAAATGTGGAATTAAAACCACAATATGCATGTATTTAAAAATATGTTCACATTTTTTTGTTATTTCTATTAATTCTACACACTACTTCATCGTAACATATGAATAATTTAGAAAAATGCATCATTAGTAAAATTATTTGTTTAAACTAATTTTTTTTAAAAATAAATTAAGCTTTTTACTTTCGGTAATAAAACTAATTTTATTAATTATCACATAGCATTGAAAAACGTTAACATGTTCCTTTCTAAACTAATACGAATCCTAAAGCAATGAAAGGATTTTTATTTGACTTGATGCATAATACATTTATTATCGGGAAAAAAAACTGTCTTGTTTTGAAATCTTCTTAAATCATTCCGAGAAATGTAGCAAATTTCGCACGAGTTTCCTGTTTATATTTTCTTTTTTAGATAAAAAAATTCATTCAGAAATACTTTTTTGATTTTATACTAAGAAAAATTAATAGTTTATATTAAGTTTAAAATGAATATCAATTCTTTAAAAATGAATATTAATTATTAAACTACATTTTTCCAGTAAAAAATTAATATAAACTCTGTTTCTGTCACATATTCTAATTAGATATTTTAGTTATTACGTGCTTGATATTCAGTAAAATATAACCATCGTCGATGTTAAAATCAAGAAACCTCCAATTAAGGCTCCTATACTCTAATTTAAGGTTCTACCTCCAATAGCATAATCAGCGTAGTGCATTTAAAATTATCTCCTGAATATTGAAACTTTGAATTCAAGTAAAAAGCTTATTTTAATTGATGCTTGCAAATGACATTTTTCCCGCTATAAAAATCAAATAGTTTCACTGTTTTCCATGAATCTGATTTTGAATTAGGATAAAGAAACTCTTTTTACTCCCTAATCTGCTGGGGAGATTCACATTTCATCTGACTGCTCTAGATGCATGATCGAATATTTAAGGATCGTTTACACTATATGCGATTTACGTACTCTCGTTTGCTATCTAGAAAAAAGAGGAGTTTGATTGGTGAGTTTCGGTGCTATCATATGCAGTGAGAGTAGCCCTTTAAATTTAGGGATCGAATTTAAATGTGATCGTATATACACTCGAAAATTTAAAATAGGATAAAATTTAAATGATGATGCTAATTTTTTTATGAATCCATAAATGGTCCTAACGAAAAAACATTTTTAGGTTCAGTAGTGCTTATTGATTCCTATTTACTAATAAATGTTAAGACAAACTGAACTGATGTCAACGTACGCCACGACTTCGAAATCGAAACATCAACAGGCGGATGTCAACAAAACCATGATTTAGATATTTTCATGTTGTCATTAAATAAAAAAGTATATAACATTTTTTCAAAAGTATATTTGATAAATTCCTATCTTTCTTAGTATAATTGCTATGTCATTTTTCCCCTTCATCAATTTAATTAAAAAAATCTCTTATTGTTTTTTATTTTTTCTGGAATAAATTATTTTACTTTCACAATTACTTCATGGTACCTTCCTAACAGAACATCATATTTCTTATTCTCAGCTGATCTGATTAATATGTTAATGAGATACATTTTTTAAAAATATTTCATTGTTAAATAGAAATTATGTTAGATTGTATTTTTGTTAATTTTTTCGCTTGCCCTTTTAACTGAATTTAATAAGCAAATTTTTGTTGCAGCGTTCAAACTAAAGTTTAATTTTGAACTGTCAAATTCGTTCAAAAATGGGAAACGTTGAAATGCATAAGCTGGAACCTGTAAGAGCTGATGAAAGAGAAGAATTAGACTTGAGCACTCCTGTTGATTACAAAACATTCTGCAAAGTATGATCGAACTTTCTAATAAAATTTATTCTTTATTTGTTGATTCATATTATATTTTACAATAAAATGTCTTTTAATGGAATAATCTGTACCATTTTATGCAAACAAGATTTTATTATCTCTATTTTTTATTTGATAAAGTTAATTATGTGAAACAATTTTATGTTTCTGGTTTTAAAATAAACGAACTGTTCCATGACATCTTTGTAAGTATTACCCTATTAAAGTTTATAGAATATTATAATGGTGTATCCTAAACCTTACTTTTCTTAATTTTTATTTTTAACTTTAAATTTTACTGCCCTTGAAATATGCAAATTGATTATACACATCAGATAACATTATCATAAAAATTGAAATAAGTAACAAATTGATTTTTATTAAGAGTGTAATCTGATCCTATAAAATTAATAAGTTCAAATTTTCATTAAAGAGAAATAATGCATAAGAAAAGTTTGACTTTCTTTGGTCAACTTAGAAGGGAAAAAAATCATGGGCATAGTTTGCAGGATAAATGTGAGTATATGTCCTGCTCAATAATTACAAATTTCTAATAATCCTCCTCTATATTACAGACAAATTTCAAAAAAATTCATGAATCATCATGAATTTAAATTCAAAGTAAAAAAGTGATAAAAATAATTAATCTTTTATATAGATTATGGAAGTTTCTTTTGTATATATGAAATTTGGAGAACTTATGTGACTGTGTAATTTAATTTTGTCCTTCTCAAAAATTAAGTCTGCAACATTCATGGAAAAAATATTCTGTGTTCCCCCAAAATGAAAAATATTAAAAAATATTTTTAAGAGAGAAAGTGTAATGGTATCAGCATACTTAGATCTAGATAATCCAAACTTGTCAACTATTTATAGCTATCATTATTATTTCAAATGAATTAATTTAGCAACAAAAAAAAATAGTGATCATTTGTTACATATTTATGATGTTTTAAAGAAAATATCTTACAAGTTTTTTTTTTCTTTTTTTTTTGTAAAATCTAAGTATATCCTAAAAGAACATGCCTAAACACTTATCCTTTTCAGCACATCAAGGGTGAATATTCACATAAGTGCCTGACTGAAATTCCGTCAGCTATAACAGACTCAATATCATTACATGAGAGAATAAACTTATCATTCAATTGCTTATCAACTTTGCCAGAAGAACTTCCTTTACGAATACCTCACATATCCTTTTTGGACCTTAGCTTTAATAAAATTACTACTTTACCAGATAGTATAGGTTTATTTTTTCATTTAAAAGAACTGCTTTTATCTCATAACCAACTAGAACAAATTCCATTTACTCTCTCCCGATTGGTAAAACTTCAGAAGATCGATTTGTCTCACAACAACCTGATCTCCTTGCCAGAAAATATTGGTGAAATGGAGTCACTCAAAAAACTCAATGTCAGCTGCAATAAACTGACTTGTCTTCCTAAATCTCTCGGTTACAGTGAAACTATTGAAGTTCTTCTTGCTGTGTCTAATGCTTGTGAATCACAACCGCCTCAACATATCTGTGATAGTGGATCTGTTCAAACTATTAGGTTTTTAAAACAACTTGCATCAGGGAAAATCCTATCAAAAGTGGAACGAGAAATTAATGTGTTTCCCAGAGTTAGAGGTAATGTCATTCAAACAGCAGCTGCTAATCCTGATTCTGCTAAAGCTCTATATGTTCAAATACAAACAGCAACTATGAACACTGCAAGTAGAATTAGAACACCTTTGCTTCCACCTTATGATGCTACTCAACTGCATCCTGATGAACTAAAAGATAGAATAATCGGTGAGCATAGCATCACATTTTCTTTTTTTTTTTTTCAATACATTCAAATCAATATTGTGCTGTATTTTAAATTTAATTTCACTTTATAATACTTTTTCATTTGTTTACTTATCAAACTATTATGTACTGTTTAGAACTTTGTAAATATATTCTATTGTCATTTAATTGTTCCCTATGTATATTTTCTAATTTACAACTTTGGGTGCTTGTAAAACAATTCATTTAGAAATGTATTAAAGCGCTGCAATACATTTTATGACTTTTGACAAAACTAAGTTGACTTTAGTTGTGCCTATTAGGATTTGAATTTGCGAGCATAATCCAGATATTCTTTGGAATACATTTCTGGCATTTCATTTCTTCACAAAGTTCCAGCTTGTTTTGCTGAGAAGTGATATAAGAAACAAATTGTAAGTGTAAGAGTGTTAGGGTGTTAACATTGATAAAGAGTTTGTATTTTTAAATTGTTTGTGTTTTTATTTTTTTCCTTGAAAAACTTCCACTTAATTTTTTTTCCCTTCAGCCATATGTAAAACAACAGTCATATATATCTATAGAGCAATGATTGTATTTTTGTACGAAATATTTTCCCCTCTGCCAATTATCAGTTTAAAAACATTTTTTCTCATGATAAATATTCTGAATAATTCATCCAATTTCATATTTTAAACAAATTAAGAAATGAATATTTCTTTAGGAATTTGCTTTGATAATTCCAACCAGATATTGTACAAATAAGGAATTAGATTTAAAAAAATTTTATTTTAACTTCTAATTACATGACTGAAATGTAACTTTGACAGGTTTGCTTTACGGTGCTGTGATTGGAGATGCCCTAGGAATTGCAACAGAATTTTTGTCTTTGGATGAATGCCATTTTTATTACAATGAAGAGACACTAACTTATAACGATATCATTCGAGATGAGCATAGAGTTCATTGGAGTAGAGGGGACTGGACGTCCAATTCTGATCAAATGGTTTGCTTTAGCTTTTATTATTTCTATTGCTTGTGAAATTATTTTCTAACTCTGAAATTAGGTAAATAATAGTTTAGAATTATAACTTTTAATGGGTAAACATTGAGAAAGTTTAGTTACTGGTGCAAAAGACTAGTAACTAATCAGTATGCTGAATAAAAATGCTATAATTTTGTCCAAAACTTTATAAAATGGCCATGTAAATATTGGACTAGTTAGTTGTAATTGAGAAATTTATACTTGTGACAATTTTGACAACAAAACAATTTTGCCCTGTTAACAATTAAAAAGAAAGAAATGTTTAAGTCTTATTAGATTTAAGCATACTGATCATCAGTTTGTTCTAAATTAGATATCTTTAGTTTTGCTTTCTCAAGCATAAAACTTTTCTCATTCAGTGAAATAAAATTTTAAAAATATGCCCTTTTATGTTCTTTTTTATTTTTCAAGAACTAATGAACAGAACTGATTTTTTTTTCCAAATTTTTGGTAGTTAAAATTTTGAAAGTTAAAAATGTGTGCTTTTTTTATTTAAATTCTTTTAAAATTATTGTTAAATTTAATAACAAAGAATAATTTTTCACATAAATTTTTTGTTGTGCAAATTAGTGTTATAAATGAGTGCAACAAGTTTTAGGATTACATTATTAGTTTCAAAGATATAACAGAAAAATATGTTAATATCATTAAGCAAACCACTCTCCATAGCTTTTCTTATTAAACTATTTAAACCATTTGGTTGATTATCATTTTGAAAATCAAAAAACTGAATTTCTCTAAAAAGCATATTTAACGAATATGTTTTTGCAACTTGAATTTCTTCAATGAAGTGATTTTAGTACAAATAAATTTCCCTTTTCTTAGTTCAAAAAAAACATTTACTATGAACAAATTACGCAGAGTAAATTTTATTTAAAGTTTTTACTGTTTTTACTTTCATAAAATATTAAAAGTAACCAACTGAGTGAAAATCATCAATTTCGAAGAAAATTTTCCTTGTCTGTATTTGAAATTTTGTTCTTTAGTTTTCTAAATCTTTTTAAATTGAGAATGAATGTTATGATTTCTAATTATTTAATTCGTATAAAATAAAATGTTTTAGTATTTGTTGGCAATTACATTCTAAACTTTTACTTAAATTAATTACTTTCATAAAATATTAAAAGTAACAAACTGAGTGACAATCAGCAATTTCGAAGAAAATTTTTATTGTCTATATTTGAAATTTGTTCTTTAGTTTTCTAAATCTTTTTAAATTGAGAATGAATGTTATGATTTCTAATTATTTAATTCGTATAAAATAAATTGTTTTAGTATTTGTTGGCAATTGCATTCTTTAAATGCATTTTTAGAAAAATGTTGGCTTTGAGACTATTTCGTTCTGTTAATACACATTATGAAAACAGTTTTGTATAAAATTCTTTTGTACGTAGATTTTGTTTAATACCTAAATATTTTTAATTAAAAGCTAAGGCTTAGGTGGGAATTAATTACTTTTATCATGCTTTAAGTAAGATTTTTTCGAATTTTTCTTTTTAAAAAAAAAAATCTATATTGAACCACGTATTTAGTGCTAATTCGTTGTATTTTTTAAAGATATTAGTTCTATACACAGGTAACAATGTTATTGAAGGAGAAAAATAATTGTTGTGATATTTATGTTTTACAATTTGTTGTAAAGTTATTAACGTAACATTAAAAAAATTGTTTCTTATTATCAAATTTGCCATTATTTTGAAAAATTATTATATGGAACTTTTAAATTTTACTTTTGATCTATCTACCTTGCTTACCAAAAATAAAATTTAATTAAGGTAGTTTTCAAAAGCAATTATGCCGGACGGTATCAACTTCCTTAAGACAACATTTAATTTTAAGTCACATGTATCACAGCAAACTTTTCCATTAAAATATTTTTTAGGGTTAATAAAAAAAATAATCATTATTTTTACAACAAAATCAACATCTGCCCTTACTCAGATGTCAGATGTTCCCTTTGACCCTAAGTATAGAAATCTGACCATTGGATCAAAAGTTATTCAGCATGCTTCTTTACAGAATGAATAGTAGGGAGTTTAACAGCCAACTATTAAATACAATTTCTATTACTTACAATTAGTTTAACATGCTAGGAATATTTTTTTTTTCTGATGCATCTTTGTAGACTTGTTTGAAAAAAAATGTCTTTCCTTAATTTGCTTTAAACTTCTTATATTTCACTACAATATTTAATGTTTACATTTCCTTAATTTGCTTTAAACTTCTTATATTTCACTACAATGTTTAATGTTTACATTTACTTAATTTCAGCTTCTTGTCCTTGATTCCTTGCTGCAATGGGCTGGTGTGGTTGATGAGTTAGAGTTTGCCAAACATCTTATTACCTGGAAGAAAAGTGGAATTCCAGAATTAGAGGGACGAGAAAGTTACATGCATTCAACTACAATCAATCTTGTAAGATAACTTGAATTTCAAAACTTTTGAATTTGATTATTACAAAATGTGGTTACTAAGTTGTAAATTGTTTATTACTATTATGATTTTCATCATTCACTGTTTGACTGCTTGAAGAAAATTGTGTGTGTATTCAAGTGCTTATTGTGGGAAAATTTAGGATCACAAATATTTTTATTTATTTTGAAATTTATTAGGTTTAAGTAATCATTGAAAATGAATTTTTCAGTTAATCAGGGGCAAGTAAATTTAATTATCACATTATCTTATTTTATTTACTTATTTTTAAATTTTTTGTGATGGCCATTTTATTTTGTGTTTAAAAAAATTTTTTGAATGTGGAAAAAAAAATTATCGAATTTACTTCAACCAGCAAATTGAAAAGTATTATGAAATGTTGTATTGAGTTTTAAAGATATCTATTTCTATAAGCTCTTAATAAGATAAGATATTAAAAATAGTTTTCTGGATTTTTGAAAGGTATGAGATTTTTTGTAAATATTAAAATTGAATTCATTTGTTGAGTGTAAAATATTACTTTAAAATTTTTTTTTTTTTTAAGTTCTATGCAAAATCTACCTTAATGGATTTTCATAAAATTGATTGCAACCAATTACATTTCTTGTGGGATAATTCAAATTCTAAAAAATTTAATTATTCTAGCTTTTTGTTTTATTTGTAAATTTATTTTTGTTATTATTCTCAATCTTCATTTTCGGAAATTGTTAAAAAAAAATATCTGTCTTAAAATGTTGCTTTGAGTCATAAAGTGTTTTTTTCCATCTGTCTCTCTCTAAACTTTAAGCAGGGTTTGTTATTATAATTTTTTTTCTTTTTCTGTTTCAAAACAGTTCAGTTATTGTATATTTACCTTTTATAATTATTTATTTTTTAAAAAAATTCTAGATTTTTGTTATAAACAAGATATAGAAAAAACTAGAAAGAATTATAATTGTTGAAAAATAAAGCACTTAGTAAAAGATTATTAATTTTATTCAACACTAGCTATATGTTTTTCCCACCATTAGTAGAATAAGACTACTTATTTTCTCTAACTATTTAAACGATGAATAGAAAAAGTTACAAAGAGTGTGTAGGGTTTTATTTATGCATTCTTACTTCATTGATAACTTCAGGTGTTGCAATCTCCCAAGTATGATGAAAATCCACATCAGGTTGCTGAAGATACTCATAAACATGATGGATTTAACCTTACAAACGGAAATAGTTCAAGTAGTCCCCAAAAATCATCCTTATTCGTTGATAGTGGTTCTCTCTCACGAGCATTAGTACTTGGTAAATATATTCTAACTCTTGTGTTAAAAAAATTTTAATGTAATTTTTAAGTTATATTGATTGTAAATTATATCAAATAAATTTTTTATTCCATTTGATTTCAAAAATTCCCTTGAAATATATTTATAGAATTTGAAAAAATCTTGAATCTTATTTTTAAATGCATCATTGTGGTTAAAACTATTAATGAATTGGTGGTATTATTTTAGTGTGTAAAAAAATTTTTCACAAACAAATTCTTATGTCTATTTTATTTTAATTTTTTAAGTAGTTTTCTTCAAAGAAATACAATCAAAGGCTAAGTCTTTGAAGTTTTAAAATTATTTTGCTGAATAAAAACTAATTTTTGCAGTTGGATAAATTTTTAAAAAGTTTTATTTAATGTTAACATTGATTAAGTTAATCATGCATGCTATAAAAGTTTACTCTTAAATAAAGAGAGAGAAAAATGGCCTTTTGTTACACATTTTTAGTTAACATTACTGAATTATTATTTTATCATTCATAATATTATAATCAATATTATTATTCACTGTCTTTCATCTTATTAATAGGTCAATAAACCGAAATGCAATGAAATAAAATGACAAAAAAACTCATTTTTATTTTATAAATTTTGATTGTGGTAAATATCAAAATTATGAAATTACTTTGTATTGGTTCTTACCATTTCTAACTTCACTAATTCTATATTAATTCAACATTGATACCTTTCTTTTTGTGGTAGAAAATTTTATGTTTGAAAATATCTTTATTATGATAATAATTACTTGTTATTGCTTGTTCATCTGTTACTTGTTATGATGATAAATATTTAATTATTTATTCATATTTTTGAATAATATTCAGAAAAATGTTGAAATAAAGTGAAGATTGTGAAAGTGATGCAACTTATTATTTTAATTAATGTAAAACGTTTAGTTTTATAATTATCTCAAATTAATGCTTCTTTTTATTTTCAGGTATACCTCGTTTTCATGACTTGAGTGAAGTTATTTCAAATTCTGTCAGAATATGTTTAGCTACACACTTTGATGAAAGATGTGTCATGACATGTGTAACTTTAAGTGTGGCAGTTGCTTTAATGTTGCAAGTAAGCGATTTTTAAATGACCTGTTGATGTGAATTCTATGCTTAAGTTTGGCATGTTTCACTTTTTTTAATAAAAGAAATTTCCTTTACATAGTTTTTGAAGAAAAAAAATTACATTTATATTAAATTTATAAAATTTTGTTATCTTAAAATTGTTGAACATTTCTTAATTTCTTATTTAAGTGTATAGGCTTCAATCTATGATATGTTTTAAAAAGAAAAAGCTTTCCTATTTTATTATTTAAAATTGACGATTTTACAAAAAAATTAATTTACATTTTTTCAAAAAAAAATCTTAAGGACAACTTAAAATTTAGTTTCGGACCAATTAAAATTTACATAACAAATACTGTAAAAAAGTCTTTGGCAAAAGTTCCAAAAATATGCTTTTAAAATCATTATTATAGTTTTATCTAGATGTTGTAGGTAAATTTTTATTTATCTGGTTTGTTTTTATAAAGAAGTAGTATGCTATTTTTTTAATTGATAATTTTATGAAAAAATACTTAACCATTTTTCAATAATCGAATTATATATATAATAATAATCTTATGGGTAATTTTTAGAACCAGTTAGCAGAAAAAATACTGTTCATTATTATTATTTTGACAAAAGTTCAGAAAAAAAGCTTGTTATTTTAAAATCACACTTTTATTTAAATGCTATAGATAAATTATTATACATTTTTTAATAGAATTTGACCATTTTAAAAGTATGTTTATAAAGAATATCTTTGCTAGAAAGATATGATATAAATTTTGTAAGGATTTTAGGAAATAATTTTGAGCTTTGTTATTTTAAATTAAAGATTTTATAGAGAAAAAGGATATATTTCTGTCAGGAATAATTTTAGACTAGTATAAATATATTGTATATTTTTTCAAATATTTCTCTGTAATTTTTAACTAAGTACGTTTAAAAAAATTTTTATTAAATGTATTCTATGTATGAAGCTAAGAATCATTCTTACTAAAATCTAAATCGGAAATTTACTTCATTACTATGTAAAGTAAACAAAAGCATTTTTGCTAAAATCAAAATGGTTTATATCTTTTTATCAATTTTACATATTTTATTCCCTTGGATTTATATTTAGTTTTTGTACTGTTTGTACTACATATATAAAACATTTGTATAATAACTTAATATCTATTATCTTAAATTCTTGAATCTTTTCCCCACACTTTTCAATAAATTAAAAATGTTAGAAATTACGCTAAATAAACTCTTTGCTTAAATGTGATAATAAATGAAATTTGAAAATCTACTTTTTTAAAAAAAATTAGATTTTTATGATATCTTTGGCTTAAAACTTAACCAGCCTAAAACTGTACTGATGAAAATTACCTGACACAATTCTTAAAGTGCTTTCAAAGAATTGTTCATTCCGTTTTATATTATAATGTTGTTTATCAAAAAAATTTAATGCATCTTAAACCTAGTGAAAAAGCAACAATTGTTTTTTAAAAAAAAAATTTAAAAAAAACTGTTTTCCCACATTTGTCAACCAAATGTAAGATTATATTTTGAAAACTTTCTACTCTGGAATTTTTCAAACTAACCTCTATTCATAAGAAACATCATGGTAAAAACCAAAGGAACTTATAATAATTAGTAAAATAAAATAACTCAGTAGTTAGAGTTTAAATTTATTTTCTCAGTTCTGTAAGATTAGTTTTAAAATATTTTAATTAATTTATAAATCTTTCAGGGCAAATATTCTTTGGAAGAAGACTCTTCAATGGAAGAGTTGTTAAAGAGGGCAACTCAATATGGTTTAAACTATAGCAAAGATGAAGCTATACAAAAAGAATTCAACTATTATTGTTGTTGTAGTGATTATAAAAAGTGAGTAGTCCTTTTGTTTGTTTCATAATTTGAAAATATGGATATATTTCTGTAATATTACCACCTGTTCACACCAACTATCATCAAAGAATATACATAGGAGAAGAAGGCTGGCTTCCATAGGCATAATGTAAACCAGTCCCCGAAGGTTTAGTACAGGTGTATAAAGGAAAAAAACAATAAAGGGCATACAGTAAAAGTTCTTGAAACAGATTTCTACCCTCCTCTTCACCCAGTCACTACTGGGGTTGGGGAGAAGAAGAAAAGTTTCTCTTTTTATTTATTATTGTTTTGTTCTGCGTTTTTACACTATTTGTTAAATGGTACTGTACTGTTAATAAATCTATTCCTTTGAAAATACATTTATCATCCACGTTGATTACATTTGCTAACTCATTTTGACAAAGAAAGAAAGAATAAAGTGGCAGCGCGAGTGGTAGCATACCCAACGATACATGTAGAGTTGCCCAACAACCGGTTCACAGGTTCCGTACCTTCTGAAAGTCACTTTGCTTTTTATGTGCATGCTCTGGATCTTATTGTATATGATGCTCTGTTAATTCTGCTTATATTGCTCGCTTTATAAGTTGTTTTTCTGCTATAGCATACTGAACTGAGCTCTGTGAAAAAAAAGTTTGTGCCATTTCTAGAAATTCATTAAACTTAAAGATGGGTATTTCAGTGCTAAATGTGTGCCTCAGTGTTGTTTAGTAAACATACGTATACAGTTCTGTGGTAACACAATAGCACACATACATTCTACTTTATTATTGCAATCTGCTCTCGTTTTTAGCAAATTTAAAAATTTTGAAGAATTAAAAGTTTTTATAAACCTAACACTAGGCTTGTAGCGCAACTACCACTACAAATCGCTCATGGACTGCAATAGAGGCACAACTTTAAAAAACACGCGTTTTGGACTGAAAACAGGTGTAAATATGAAAACACATTCTTTTCAGCAACAAAACTAGCACCACTCATAATTCAACTTGAAGGTAATCTTCGTTTAAGAACACTAAAGCATTTCTTATGCATTTTCCTTAGCAATGAATACTTTAAACTCACTTATCTCAAAACATGATTTTTTGTGTTGTGTCACTATTGCAGCCCATGAGCGAAATATTAATTACCAAATCCCTAGTATATAAGACATGTTAACTTGATTCTATCAAAGGTACCTTTTGATGGATGAAGGTTGACATGGTCAATTAATTCCACACATTATGATCTGCGGACGTGATATGAACCTGTCAACATTGATGGATGGTCCACATTCAATAATTGATTTGCTTCTAACTCAAACACTGCTCAAAGAAAAGAAATCCGGTGAAGTAAATAACGTCTCCCAGTCAATAAACAATATTGAAGGGAAAAAAAGTAATGAGCAAAATGCTATAAACAAAACAAAATAAGAAAATATAATATCCAAATTAATACAATAAACAAATAAACAGCATAAATCGACTAGTGATATCCGTTCATCAAATTCTATCACAGATAAAATGTGGTGTAACTACCACTACAAATATTAAGTACCAAATCACTAGTATATAAGACATGTTAACTTGATTCTATCATGAGGTACCTATTGATAGATGAAGGTTGACATAATAGATAAACTCTCCCCTTCAAGCTGTCTAAAATATATTTGTGTTGTACTTAAAGAAAAAATTTCATCACGTGAATCAAATTGCAATTTTTAAGCATTAGTTAGTCTTAGTAGCAACTACGCATTATGTTACTTAAAAATCTTTTTACACTAGAAGGTACTTACATGCCACTATTTATATTTAATTTTTATCTGCGTTTGTCCTTGCAAATTTGCTTAATTTAATTACCATTTGCAGAAGTCATGATTGAGAGTCAGTCCTCATAAGAAAATTTCATATTTATTTACTATAAGTTTTTTATTTGTAGTTTTTTTTTAATATTTTATTCCCCTAAAAGGTATGAACGGTACACAGTAAAATTTTGTACCAGTGTAAATTGATTTACCTGTTAATGTAAACTGGATGCTCAGATTTTATTTTCCTTTTTTTCTTAGTATTGGAATTTCTGAAGTTGGAAAAGCATGTCATCCTTTTAAAGCATGCGCAGCTGCTTTTACAGGTCTTCGGTCTGGGGCAGATTTTAAGTATGTTGAATTAAAATCCTTTTCTATTTTGTTAATTTAATTTTTGTTCAAATGTTTGATAACATTTTAGTTTTCTTACTTTATTATCAAAGTGTTTTGAGAATCTTAAATTTAAAGTGATAAGAGTATATTAATATAATTAAATGAAACTGTATTTTTCCCTATTTTGTATTTTTATAGCATCTGAATTTTACATTGTAAAACTGTACAAATTATTAGTAAGCTGAAAGTTTAGGAACTTTGTTTCTTTTACTCACCTAATGGTCTGAAATATTATGGATGCAATCTTATCAAAAAAAAGTGTCAAACCTTCCGAAAAGAGCTTGATTTACGAAAAAATACTTTGACTAACTTTTGAGATTTATAAATTTTCAGATTATTGTATTGTTAGGGCCTGTTGTGTTGTTTGATTGTTATTTAGAATTATTTGCATTAATTCTAAATAACAATTAAAATAATTTTGACTCAAATAAGTTTTCATCAAAACTATTTACAAAATAAATAAAAAAATATCTTAAATCATTTAGTTTATGCTAAAAGCAGTATTTCTCAAGTGAAGAATGTACTTATTAAAGATATCTAAGAATATCCTCGGCTTGGCTACTATGCACAGTGAAATTCTAAAAACATAATTGTTGTGCATCGATAATGTCTATCCATAATATGTAATTTTATATTTTTTTATGGTATAAATATTGGATTTAAAGTGTATGAATTATGGTTTCATTAAAATTATTTTTATTTGTATTTTAATAAAATTACTTTCTTTATAGGAAACGGGAATTGAAAAGAAAAATTCTTAATGTCTTTTAATTTAAAACCATTAGTTTTAGAAATTATGGTAAGAGGAGAAAGATGTGTATAAAACATACAACACTTTTTCACTTTGAAATCAATTTTATTTAATGATCTGTAAGAAAAAAAATTAAATACTAGATATATTGCTGAAAAAATTTTAAACTCAAAATTTGACATTTTTAAAAAGTCTCTTCATAACTTTTTTCATTACTTAATCATTATTTTATATTATTCATTATATTATATTATTCATTAGTAATAATGTATTATTCATTATTAATAATATATTATTCATTATTTTATATTTATTCATTATTTTATGTCAGTCAAGTTGAAACTGTTAAATAGACTATTTCCAAATTATTTTTTTATTATTTATTTAATGTTTTTTTTACTTATTTTCTTTTTATTATTATTATTTTTTTGTCTATGTGGTAAAAGTAGATTGATACTGATATAAGGGGTTAAAGAAATGGTGATATTGCTCGCTTTTCAATTTGAAACAAAAATAAACCTCTGGTAAAATTTGAAACAATAAAAGCATTTAAGTTGCAAAAAGTTCAAACTAGTTTAAGTTCAAACTAGTTCCAACCACCCCCTTCATATTATATAATTTATAAAGAAAACATATAATATTATATAATTTGTATTTTATTATATTTGTTTATTATTTCAATTGTTTTCTTTTTAACTTTCACAGAAGTGCTCTGAGCAGTTTGTTGATGCTTGGGGGTTACAGTAGCATGACTGGCTGCATTAGTGGTTCATTACTTGGCTGCAAATATGGCTATTCTCGACTTCCAAAACTCTGGATTGATGGTTTGAAGCCTAAAAATAAAGAATATTTAAATTCTAAAATCAATTCTCTGCTAGATATGATGGGCCTGCCTTAATCTTTAGTCATTGTGTTACTTTTTGTATTATAAAATTACATATTTTTTAAATTAGTGCTATACTATATTGCAATCTTGACAGCTATATTATTATTTTTTCTTTAAAAATATATGTTATTATTGTTACAGAGTCATTTTAGTTCATATGTCTTGTCTGATATTTTGGAAATTGTGATTTGAAAAAAAAATATGTATATTATTTTTTAAAATTTGCTTTTAGTTGTTTTGTTATAGAACATTTTATTTTATACCTTAATCAATTGATATTTTAAAAGCAGTGTTCATTAGCTGTGTGACATGTTTCTAACTATTCTAAAAAAGATCTTATTTATTACATGTTTCCCTTTAAAGCTGAAATATAACAATATTGATATTCAAAAATTTTAGGTAGCTTGAACTTTAACATTAGATAACTAAGTTAATTTTGTTTCCAGTAAAAGTTACTAAAAGGCTAGCAAAATTTCAATTTTCCAAGACCATAAATTGAGTAATTAAAAATATAATAATTTTAGTCATAATTTTTTTAAAAAAACATTATTAAAATAAAATTTCTTTTTAAGTAAGCGACATGAATATATTTTAACAATTATTAATAAAATAAAAAGTTTTGACGTCTTGTGAAATGGTATGCTGTCATCTTATAAATATTTCAAATTTTTTTATTTGTAATTTGAATACCGTAAGCATGAAAAAAAATCAAATTGATCCTCTAACTAACAAAAGGATTTAGGATTGTTTTTTTTTTCATTTCTCATATTCAGACTTATCATCAGACTAATTTCCAATATATATATATATATATATAAAGCATGAAGGTTGGAAGAGATTTCAGGATGCCTAGCAATCTGTATAATCTAGAAAGCTCAAAAAAATTCCTCGTTCCTAGAAATTTTAATGATCAAAAATATTTTGTCAAAGGTCCCTGAAATTTGCAATATATCAAAGAAACAGGGATTAAAAAAATTTCTGTGATATCAACAAAAAAATTTTTATTTAAGTTTAACTGTATGTGATTAATAAAAAAAAAATTCGGTATTATACATGTTATCAAGTGTATGTGATAAAGATCAGAAAGTAATTAATAGAAAAATTGTTTAAACAAATGAAATAAAATAGTCTACAACATGCTTTTTTTCATTTTTAAAATTTTTCATTATTAATTCATGATAGATATATCATACTTAATTGCATATATGTAAATGTTATGTAAGTGTATGTTATGTTTCTAACGTGAGTTTATATTATAAATTTATTTTAGCCTAATAAAAAAAAGTCTAATATTTTAAAGAAAAATTTTATATTTTTTTAACATATGCTCTTATAGTTTAGTTTAAACTCCTGGGATTAATTTTATTTAATTTAATGTTTTACTAAATATATGTAAGAAAATATTAATAGTGTGATTTTGAAAAATGTATTTTCAAAGTCTAGAAAACCTGGAATGGTTAAATAAATTTCATTTAGTGCTTTGATAGGCATTCTGATAGTTTTCTTTGTGCTAAGTTGTTGCTAATATCAAAAACCTTAATTTAAATTTTATATATTTTAAGAACTTTGCTTTTCTAAAATACCTATTATTTGTTGAAAAATGATCTTTAATAGCTGAAATCATCAAAATTTTTAAATGTGTCTTCCTCAAATATAACACTGCAATGTGGATGTACTATGTTCCTTATCAAATAACAACTTATTGAATTATATTAATTCACAAAACAATATTGTTCTTTATAACTACTTTTTGTACTTTTACTTGCTGTTTGAGATTATAATGTTTATGATAATGCTTGATTTAGTTTTTTATGTGTACAGTGCAATGATAAAATTGCTTTATTTATATCTTAAGCGTACAGTGATAAAATATGCTTAATATTGTAATAATTTTTTTTAAACTTACAATTGTAAAATTTTTCCTGTGCAGTTGTATTTCACAAATTGTGTTTGCCTTTTGTATCAATTTATTTGAGTGTATTTATATTTAATTTATTTCAAAGAGATTTAATACTATATGTACTCAAAACATTTTTTTATTCTGAAAATAATCCTATATGTTTGTTTGACATTTAAGGCAGCTTAAAATAAGGATCAACCAAGGTTTTAAGATATTTGGCTATCTTAAATATTCCTTGTTTTGGTATGTTTTTGAAAAATCAAACGATTTCATTGTATATTTGTAAGTCTGTGTAGTGAAATTTTTTATTTTTTATACTATTTAAAATTTATTTATTTAATTATGCATTCATAAAAAATGATTTGTTAATTTAAAAGTCATTGAGCGAGCTATAATATTTTATTGAATGAAGTTGAGCCATGTAGTTTTAACCGATTAAGTCACTTACCATGTTTGTAACTTTTGAATCTCTCTACTATGTGATTTTTTTTCTTTTGAATTGTGGGCCAATCTATGAAGACAGGGAAAATTTGGAATTCTCAGAGATTTGAAATTTACTTAAAACTGGATTTCTGATGAAATTAAAATACAATGCAATACTCTCGGAGAAAATGACAATAAACTCAAAACATTTTCGTAGCATTATAATGGTCACGCATAACCTAACTACCAATATGTTTCAATCTATTGTCAGGCCTTAAGAATATTTTGGATAACCAACCATCTCGTTAAAAGTTATCCATTATTACAACAGAGTGTTTAAGATTGATGAGATACTGAAACAAAAATCTCTCTCTTAGTGGTTCTGTTAATTAACTGTTCTTTTTTAAAACTAATTCCCATTTAACAATTTTGGATTCGTTTATGATATTATATTTTTGAAATTAGGTTTGAAATCATCGAATTTGAAAGTCACAAAACTTTTCATGACTGGCAAACACCGTGTACAATAATTTATTTTTCTTTTCATTAGTGTTATTTAAAAAAAAATAATAATAGTTTTGATTAGATAATTTGTTATGTTCACTTTCTATTTAACAAATATTTATTTTATTTAAATTAAATTTCTTAAAATATTAAGGTTATAATAATTTATAAAAATAAATAAGAAATTTATCAAAAACCTTTTACCATACAAATTAATAGAAAAATCTCATAATATATAAATTTACAAAAGTTGGTTTTAATAAAATAATAAATTTTTACGAAAGTTGGTTTTCATAAAGTAACAAATTTTGATAATGCATATTTTTTGTTTCTCAGGAATTTTTAGACAAAATTATGAACAAATAAAATAATGAGTAAATTTTAAATTTAAAGAAAAAAAAATTATTTTAAAATTTTTTCATTTTTTAAATAAAAAATTCAAGTCAAAATACTTAATTAAAAAATTTATTTGTAATTTATGTTTAATTTCTACATAACATTTTTAATTACTATTAAAAAATATCTTTCATTTAAATTGTAAAAGTCTGCAAAGTTTTACTCTGGAAATCTTAGAGAATTTTGGAAAGCTTTCACCCTGAAGTTTTTGTTTTTCTTTCTTTTGAATGAGCCTGTTATTTAGCCCATTTCATTATTGTTTTTGTTTACTTAATTTTTCTCTATGTTAGTTTGATACCTTTCTTTATTCTTGACATTTGTGATTGAAAAAAAAATTGTAGTGGATCCCTTTCTTCATTCTTAAAATTTGTGATTGAAAAAAATTTTTTAGCGTTTACATGCTTAAACATAAATTTAAAAAGAATTTAAGTCATACTTAACATTCATTACCTTGTCAGAGACAGTATTGAAGTGAATATTTTATTTTTGAGTTTTATAACCAGTTACCCATTTTTATAATCATGTACTGTTTTTGCCAATTGAAAAGGAATCATTACAATTAATTTGCAATTATGTTTTACATTTTCTCAAATTTTTTTGTTTTCTATTATTTTATTGAAAAAGAAGTTATTTAAGTTTAAATAAATGAACACTTCACCTTGAGGTTTATATCTTTTCTTAGCCTTATTATTGAATAGATTTTTCAAGCTACTGATAATACAAATGAGAAAGCTTCAAGTGCAAAGATTTCAGATTTTAAACAAATTTTAAAAAGTTTTGCTATTGAACTCTCTTGGGTTAAAAGTTAATTATATTAAATATGTTAGTTGATAATAGGACATGACAAAAGCAGATTACATGATTGAAAATGCACATTATGGATGTACTCGGTTATTTACCATGCTATTTTAATTGCTGGAGTATAATGTAAATTTTTTCATAATTATATAGTAGAATAAGAAATAATGGTGCTCACGAAGTAGTATTTATTGCTTAAAAATTTAATTTTGATATAAACTATAGTAATTATTTGACTTCGCTTTTTGTAATTGTTATATATGTATACAAATGTTATTGTTGATATTAATAAATTGTTGCATTGATCTATAACTGTTTCTTTTTGTAAATTCATTTAGAAAAAAAATTATTGAAGCTTTAAAATGACTACTTCATCATTGAAAACACATAAGTTTTATTTTAAAATTTATGTATAAGTTATAACATTTTACAATAGCGTTTATTTGATAAATTGCCTTTACCTTTTGGAATTTGGTTTAAGGTGGCTATTTTTAAAGTTGTGTTATCCTCCCAATAGATATCCCCCTTTATTCCCAATAGATATCTCCCTTTATTCCAAATAGATATCTCCCTCTATTCCAAATAGATATCCCCCTTTATTCCCAATAGATATCTCCCTTTATTCCCAATGGATATCTCCCTTTATTCCCAAGCATATGTAATTGAATGGGGTGTATCACAGCAATGCATTTTTAAGATGTCAACATAAGTACTTACAGATATATGATTTTTTATTTTATTCGGTTGTTTGAGAGGAGCTATGCATGTCTTACAAAAACTGCAGTCTAGTTTTGAGTTACAAATTCTATAATAAACTTCAAGATATTACCATAATGAATATTATTAAGTTATTATCAACAATGGATCTTTAATTGTATTTCGAAGCATATGTATGTAATTAAATTTGGAATATTGCAGCAATACATTTTTAAGATGTCAACTAAAATTATACAGTGAAAGGAACCTGAAGATTCGAAAATACCAGTAGCATTTCGAGATATATGATTTGTTTTTATTGTGATGTTTAAGAGGAGCTACACATGTTTTACAAAAACTGCACAATCTAGTTTTTTATGTCTATAACAAACTTCAAGATATTATCAACTTCCTTCATACTCATAAACACTATGTTATAATTAATATTAGTAAAAATTTATCACTTTATTTATTTTAAATTTCCTTGCCCATTTATAAGGAGTAAAAGTTATAGAATAATGAATGGAAAGTGAATTAAACTATTAATAAAAAGAATTTAAAGGTTTAAATAAATTTTATGTTTTCGGAAAATATTTTTTGAAGGGTGCTTTTATATTTTCATGAAACTAGAACTGCAATATTGGAACTCTATAGCGGAAGGTTTTTATGCTGAATTTGTTGTTATTTGTAGGTGCCTGGTATAAGGATCTGTAAAGTATCCGAAATTTGAAAAAATTCAACATTGTTGAACCGTAGTTTCAAAGACATATTTCATGAATATTCCACGAAAATATCTTGTGTGATTAACTAAGGACTACAATTAAAGAATCCATTCTTTAAGGAAGTTGTTCTCGACGGATACTATTTATAAACAATGAACCGCTTCTCTAAAACAAAAATTTTTTGCTTAGCCTGTCTAAACCATATCGCCAATTAGCTTGAATTTAAAAATATATATATATGTGAGTCTTATGTTATACAATTTTTTGTTACGTAGAAAATATTTAGTTGATTCAGAACAACGTACCGTCGCCAATAGCCCATTGTGCAGCTCTAGTGCGACGTAAAGTAACAACAACAACAGAACAACGTACAATTTTTAAAAAAAGTCAATCGCTTTTATTTAAACAATTAATTGCTTGAGTATAAATACAATCCATACTATTTTATACTTGAATGTTTCTTAAATCGTATGAGTACAAATTCAAAGATAAAATAGTTTTTTTTTTTCGTTCTCAGTATTTACTATTTTTTTTTCACAATTATATATCTATCTATTTAAAAATCTACCGAAGCTTCCCTTTTTTCCTTTTTTTTCTAGTTATTAAATTTTTATTTTAAAATAGAATTTTTAATTTTATGATTTTACTGTAATGAAAATGTTTAGATAGTACAGTTACTTTTGTACAGGATTTTTAAAGAGATTTAGAATTCCGTTAGATTTTATGCAAACAAGTAATCATAGCCTGAAAATTAGTTGATGCTTTATATTTAAATGATATGTGTAAAAAATCTCTTTCTTTTTTACTAAATTTTCATCGCTATTTAATTTCTTCTTCAAACTGTCCACCTATCGTTAAAAGAATCTACCCAAGAATCTATGTTTTCGAGCTTTTTTTTTCTTTCCTCTTTTAATTGTAATCTTGCTTTGAAATAAAATCGTATCTAGATCCATGTGAATTTTTTTTTAATTGTTTAATCGAGGTAATTTGCAGGAAAAAAAATCGAAATTCCTCGAAATTTTTCTTTTTGAATAAAATAATCTGCAGAAAGTCTTAAAGAATTCCAAAGTTAGTTAGTTTATTACATTTTCCTGAATTTTTTTTTCTGCTGAAAATTTGGAGCATAGTTTTTGTAGATTTTCTGCAGAAAATTTTAAAGATTGACTCCAAATACCTAAAGATTTTTCTGCAGATTTTTTTCTTTCGATGTCGATGGGTTGGAATCAAATTGTTTCAACTACCATCATGCACAAGTCTGAAAAATATAATTAATAAAACTAAAATATTTCCACTTTTTTTTCTTGTTATTATTTATAGCCATTCCTGATGGGATAATGCAAGATTAAGCAAAGCGCTTTAATAGAAGTTCATCCCAAAAATTAATAAATGAAGACTAACTGTAATCAGTATCATTTGGCATGATGCTATTCCTCGAAGCCAACTCGTGATAGTCTAAATTTACTACAATCAAACAATTTTCTTCAGTTCTTATCCCCTACCCTACTCTGGACTGTAGAAGAACTATTACTACAGCATTTACAGCCGTACCTATTTTAGTATATTTGACACCTATTAAAAACAGCTCCTCACCAATTGCCATAATACCAGTAATAGTAATTAACAAAATAAATTAAAGATCATTGACTTCAGTGTGTTTTTTACGGTTTTCCAAAACGATTTCAGTACATTTTCTCAATTAACTTAGCGTTTTACTTCATAACTTATATTTCTTTATTTAATTATCGTTGATTTTAAATTATTTAATTCATACATGGCTGTCACATGAGTCTAATTTTAAAGGAGGATGAAATTAAAATATGCAGTTAAACTATTTTTCTAATATATACAAAAAAAAAATTATATCTGTTAATTTTGTATAAAATTATTAATTATTTTTATCTCCTTTTTGTTTTTAAACTTTGAATTTAATTCGATAGTGATTCATGAAAATTTTATTTTACTGTTGGAAATACTCAGGGGGACTTTCATTGATTTTTAATCGTTGGAGGTGGGATGGGTATATATACTCACCTTCGTTAAGTACACCCATGGTTTCATAGAAACACGTTTTAAAAGCAAAACGGTTTCAAATGACTGTAAATAAATATTAATTTGATGACATATCCCTTAGAGATATCCACTCTGAACTTGTAAGAAATAGTTAAAGAACGTGCGATAAACTTTTTTTTTTTAAATAGAGCTGTAAGGTAGTAAATGCTAACGCTGTTAGTATTATTTTAGTAGTTAAATTTTTTATTTTTGTTGAAAGAAAATTAGAGTTAATAAGTATTTTTTTCGGGGGGAAGGGAGGAAGTTGACTAAAGTTTAATTTTTTACAATGGTTAATACTAAACCAATATGGAAAAATTAATTTTCCATATGGTCCCATCTCTCCCAAACGTACTAATTCAATATTTTTAAACTTTTTTTTTAAATTGGGGACTCAAAATGTACTTTCTGATCGCTGCTCACATTTCAGAATTAAAACAATTTTTTCAGAAAAAGAAACAAAAAACTGCAAGCATATATATGTTTCAGTTTATGTTTTCATGATTAATTTAAATTATTGAAACTAACTTTTTTTTTCAATGTATTATGCTTTTAAACAAGACAAAAACTCAAATACAAATGAGTCAAAATTGGATGGGAAGGTTCCTTTTTTAAAATCTTTCTACAATATAAAAACTGTAAGAAAAATAAATGTAAGGTGGAAGAAATCGGTGAAATCGATCATGTTTCGCTAATTGAGATAATTTAATAATAGTTAATTTAATTTTTTTTTTTTTTTTTTTGATTTTGCGTGGATTTTAGATCTCAAGTCCCACCTGGGTATCTTAAAGGGCGTTTTGCTTGGGAGGGGGGAGAAATAAAAATAAGAAATTAGGGACAATTGCATTATGTATTCGGTTAAAAAAAAGTTTGGTCTCGAAATAATCAAGTCAAGCTTAAAAAGAATCCTTCCTTTTCTTTTCTTCGAATTATTTAAAAAAATTATCTAGACCTATTGCAGTGCAAACTTTAAAGAATGTAATTCCATGTTATTTAGAATGAGACAAATGTATTTTTTCTTGTTAAAATTTGTCATAAATTTTGTGTTTTAAAATTCTGAGAAAAAATTTCTAAGATAAGATACCTTATTAATGTGTATTAGAATACAGAATATTTATTCAGTTGACCATGCCCGTGCGCTCCGTCCCTTCTATTTATTTTTCCTCTTATTCTCACTAGTACGAAAAGATGCCACTGTATTCATAGCTAATGTATCATTCAGTTGTGAATTCTAAAAAAAATAAAAGCCCCTTAAGTTATAAAAAATATATTGACTTGTGGCGCCATCTTTTGATTAAAACTATAATATAATACTGTTCTTTTTACATAACATTCTAGAAAAACATCTTTTCTGCCAATCATATAAAATTAATGTTATTAAACTAAGCTTTAAAAACTGTTGGACATTACTTTACTTAAAAGCAATAATCTAATATTACAATATTTTTTTCTTTTAATCATTTATCCCATAGTTATGAAAAATTTACTTACAAATATGTTTTGGTAATATGCAATAAAACCTCAATTTTAAGGGAATTTTTTAATTTTTAGTCAAGAAAGCCGCTAGTTAATTTTTTATTTCATTGATACAGCATAGCAACATGTGTATTTATTTGTTTCTAAAGCACATATAAAGGATTTATTTCATTTCGAGTCATGTGCAGATAAAAATAAATTTCTTCTTTTATTCATTTAAGAGAAAATTGGGATTAAAGCGAAATTTTTATTATAAATTTTTGAACAAAAAAAAAATTATCTGTTCCATGCTAACGTCTGCTCCTTTTTACAAGCGGTTTGGTCAATAATGAAGAGAAGGGTAAAAGCTCTAAGCAGCCAATCAGCGTACGAGACTTCCTCTGACATAACTGACAAGTGAAATTAAAATGGCCGCTGCTTCAAGCCCAACAACATCAGGGATAAAACAAAATCAGACCAAAAATTATCAAGATGACAAATCTCGGCCTCCAACTGTTGAAGAGGTATTGTAGAATTCTTACTTATATTGTTGATAACAATGTTTAACTCCTTTAATCCATGATAGGATCAAAACAAGATCCTAATATTTCACGGTCGTAAACAGCGCCCGTATATAACTGTTTATGCTTAAATGCGGAAGAATTCAACATCGCCGGTTAATTTATTAATAAAATTTTTCTTTAGAACAAGGGGAATAATATTTAAATTGTATGCGTAATCCTAATTTGAGTTGATTCATTATTTTTAAAAATTATGTATAGGTACCCATCATTGTCATTAAATGACCTCATATTCATAATAAAAGTTGCTTACATGATATTTTTTACAGCTATTGTATGCACAATATTTATTTTATATTGTTGCGTTGTCGCTGTTAGTCTTGATTAGAAAACTATTTCTATAGGCTTTCAATCTCTTGAATAGTTTAAAATTTCATTTCGCTGTCTAAAACGTAATGAGTTTTACGATCTTAAATCGATATTTTTTAATTACATATGGATTATGAGGATTATGCTTGTGATCGTTATACACATTGTGCAACTGATCGTAATTCGCAACATACTTAATTAATAAAGTTGTTTATTAAAATTATGTTGTTTTTATTTATTTTTCTCTGTGAGATTTATAATTTGTTAAATGAAGTAATTATTTTTAAAAAAGACAAGCAATTTTAGGACTTGAATAAATCTATTGTTTTTTTTTATTGTGTGTGTTTTAAATAAAACTCTACATTATATTATTGTTTATAGGTATTTTGAGTGTATTGCAAATAGTATTATGCTATTAACCATTGATTTAATGCATTAAATTTTAATTTTATGAGTGTGTAGATGTTTTTATTAAATAGTGTTCTAGTAAATTTAAGGTTTTAATAGGAATTAATGCAATTTCTGTACTTTTTATTATAAAATAAAAACAAAATTTTGTTTAGAACAAAATATATATCAAAATAAGTTTTTAATATTTTCTCTATGAAAAAGTTCCAATAGAGTGAGCACTCCATCCAATTTTATTTTAATCTGGGGTTTAAAGTATAATTAAAATGTAAATTTTAGCTATGGGATATTTCTGTATCGTGATCTGTCCTACCTACTACGATTGCCAAGGCGCTAAATAGATTTTACAGAATTTTTTAAAAAAACATGTGGAACTTTGACCGAAGGTGGTTAGGAGTTATACCCTTCAAGTTGGTCCCTTTTGGTGATGTTTTTTTTTAAATTTCTCATGGGCAGTTGTCCGAAAGTCACGAAGACTTGGCAATTATTGTGCCACAAGTCATAATGCGGAAATCTTCCACATTAATATCCGAGATTGTTGCAGAATATCATTGTATCAGTTAGTCAAAGAAAAAAATTTAAAAAAAAAAAACATCGATGGCAATAAATTTATTTTAGAAAATATATTAAGCTGGTAGAGATACTCTCACAAACAGAGTGACAAATGAGTAACGAAAAGGAAGAATGTAAAATAATTGGATTCAACAGAAGCTTAAATACTCTTTAAACGGATAATGAATGACGTCATGATCCATGCGAGAATGACCAACAGCAAATGAAAAGAAATTGACCTATCCCTGCAGACCATGACGTTACCGACGTAAGTTGAATGCTTGAGATCATCATCTGAAACGACTGACGAAGATCGAACGTATACCTCTTATTTTTATGTTATTTAATCAAAATGGAACAAACTCTTTTAGCATTTATTTATCTAACACCTTTAGCTAGAGGTGGGAAACCAGCGACCCGTGAGAGCTGCTGAACAATGCAAAAAAAATTTTTTTTTTTTTTGAGAATAAAAAAAAAATTTTAAGATGTATAATAGCCAAATTGAGTTGATGCACCCAATCTACACAGATTTATTGTAAATCTATGATGTTTCTCAATCGCTTTTTCGTTTATTGCTATGAAATTCCGTACAGTTTTAAAAAACCCAATATTTTTAATACAATATTACTATAAGCGAGTTTCGAATTTGATTCATAATTTTTTTACTCTCATTTTTGTCGATTTTATTTTAAATTCAAGTGATGTTTCTAGTGTTTTTTTGGAATTTTATAACTACCAATTTACTTGCGGTTTTTAAAATCCTGATACATTTATTACAATATTACGAATTGTGAGTTATAAATTGCACATTTAATTTATCACTTTTAGGCGTGTATCAGTTTTGCCAATTTCATCATAAGTCGATTTGTTATTTTAATTCTGATGTTATTACGAAACGAGAGTTTCTAATTGCGCATTTAAATAATCACTTTTTGATACTATTTATTTTTGCATATTTCATGTTTAATATAAGTTATGACATCGTTTTCAGCCGTTAACGCCATGTATTTGTACATGGTACAGAGATGCCAACTGCTCCGGACACGCCAAAATGATTAAAAAAACAGTAAATAACTGCAAAGTAAATTTTGCAAATATTTGACTATTTTTGCTAGCTTTTTAAGAGGTACAGCATGACATAAGTACTATAAAGTGGTGAATTATATAAGCAGGGGTCTGTCCAGACATTTTGTGAAAGGTCCGTTTTTCGTGAAATTGTGAAAAAATTACATTCTTTTAACCAGGGTCCGCTTTTATGAATTTGTGCAAATAGGGTCCGTTATTGCAAACAAAACTTTTTCAAGGAGTTTTTAAATTGTAATGGTACAAGATTATGCTCAACACTGTAAAATTATAATTAAAAAAATTAAATTTTAAAAAATAAACTACAATTGCTGCTCCTAAATTAGAGATGCAACATACAAATATTTGGTATTTAGCCTATACCTGCTGCTGAATGCAGAATATTCATTTCCGACGAATAATGGAATAATCGTCTGCCGAAGTCAAAACTTAATTCGTTTACATCCATCTTTTTTGTTTTCTGCCCTGGAAAGGGTTTATTCGATTAACAAAATAATAATGAAAATAAACAAATTTGTGAAGGGTCCGATTAAAAGAAAAATCATTTTGTGAAGGGTCCGTTTTTAAGTTAAAATATTTTGTGAAGGGTCCGTTTTTATGAAAAGATATTTTGTGAAGGGTCCATTAACGGACCCAAATTTCTTCTAAACAGACCCCTGATAAGCCTACGAATTATTTAGAAATAGCGGATAAAAATCTACTAAATTGAATTTATTAAACCAAGAATCACAATTGATAAACTACCACTTTAAAATATATATTTGCTGTCCTGAGCAAGTTGGCATCTCTGATGGTATTTAGTATTCTGATAATATTATGTTATTGCAATGTAAAAGAAAAGTGGAGGAAAACGCGAATTTTTTAGCTTCTCGCTGTTTGTAATTTTGTTTTAAATTTCTTGTAGCTTATATGATTTATATGGAAAAAAACCTTTTCTATTTGAAATTCACAAAACATCTAATTATTCACGAAATAGCAATAATGTAGAATAATACCAAATAAATAATGAATCTTAATATGTGTTTAGTTTTGTCTTAAATTTTGGGTATTTGCCGAAACCCTATAAATTTTTTTTGATTAAAATATTTAGTTCAAATTTATATTACTCATTAAAATAAGTATATAATTTTTTCACCTTTATTCTGTGAGCATTATAGTTTTTTTTTCTGATTGAGTATAGTATCTCTTTTCCCCATATATATATATTAATAAATCAATTATTTATAAGAAGGCAACAAAACAAAAAAATGTTATCAGGGTTTTTTTTATTTTTGTATAAGTTCTAATAATTAAAAGTATTTAATTTTCTGAAAATATGTTACCAAGTTTAATGAGAAAATTATTTAGTGTTTAACAATTTTAAGATAAAAATTATCATATTTGCCACCAACATGAATAAATATACATGCAGCTCTTCGTTAGTCAACCAGCTTAGAAAGTGGCCCATCTCTGAAAAAGATTGTGCACCCCTACATTTAGCTAGCCGAGAATAATCAATGTTAATTGTTCTACTCAATAATTGTCAGTATCTAATTTTGTTCTATTTGTTCATACAAATTTATTTCATACATGTAATTTTTCAAATAATTAAATTATTGCCTTAGTTTTATAACCAAAGGATTTTGACAAATTTTTACTACTATATTTTAGAGAAAATATATATTAATTTTTGTGTCTGTATGCAATTAATAGTGAATTTCCAAACTGAGAATTTTGTTTAAATCAGTGAATGGTATGCAGAAAAAGTTTTTATATTATATATTAATAAAATATAAAGAAAAAAATAAGAGAAAAATCTTGCTTTCAATTTGCTCTGTATTAGTAATAGGGTTAATGAAAATCCAGATTTTTGTTTTAAAAAAAATCAAAAAATTTAATTTATTTTTAATTTTAATTGGATTTTTTTAATTATTATTTAAATTAAATTTTTTGATTTCGATTACATTTGCCATCCAAAACATCTTATAGAATGTATTAATAATACCTAATATTTTCTGAAAATAAGTATATATTTAAAATTTCTTATTAAAATGGTTAAAAATTGTTATTTAGTTATTAAAAACTAATCATTTAGTAGATAAAATACGGTTATGTTTTTGAAGCTTTACTTGCTAATGATTGTTAAAAACTACTTTTCAATTAAAAAATTTAATGAAAAGTTAATTAATAATAATAATAAATTAATTTAGATCAGAAAACATAACTGGAAAAAATTATTTTAAGTTACTCTGGGTAGAATAAATTTTGATGCACCCAAAATACCTTTTTAACAAGTTTTTAAATAAGCATGAAACTAAACCTGAGTTGGCAAGGGTTTAGGACAGGATTAATCAATCCATGGTTTAAACCATCCTGTCCAAAGCCCTTTTAATTCAAATTATGTCACATTTAAAAAAAAATAAAAGGTTAATTTTAATCTTGCATTATTTATCATTTTGCAAATTAAAGTTATGAATTATTATAATTAAAATTCTTCATGGCACTCTAATCCACATTTAGTTTCCTTTTTTTTTTTAAAGTCTATTTTGAAATATAATAATTTATATGCATATCCTTTGCATCATATCTAGTATGAAATGTTCAATATCAAT